GTGGGGGGGGTGGGAACCAACTCGATGGCCCCTAACAACAATAATTCTCATTACCATAATGACAGTTCACACCCACATGGGACCATAGCCACAGGCATATAGAGCCTAAGATCTACATCTACAACATGTCACAAAATGGCAGCAGCAATGCACTACCTGGCCAAATTGACACATACTGGGGGTGGGGAGTGGGGTGGGGTGGTAGTTACATAATCTGCGGTCAGTTTGGGACTTGAGGGGATTTAGAGTGAAGGGGTGGAGTCTAGTCTGTCAATCGGGATATAGCCAATGAGGCCTCTGTGTGGGCATGGCCTTCCCCTGAGGATTCTGGGAATTCCTGGATTTCCTCCTTGGAGGTGGGAGACCCTTCTTCTCTCACGACTCACTCCCTTGGAGACTACTGACAAGGCTGATTCCCTGCGAGAAGCCATATGGATCTACCCTGATGCAACCAGACCTCTGGAGCCAGAGAAGCCATGTGGAGAACCCTGCCAGCGCTGAGATGCTTCCAACCCCACTGGATCCCGAAGATTTCCAAACCTACTCGCCTGTGATCTTCCTGTATTCACCATCATTGCATGTGTTTTGTGAGTCAGAAGAGGACTTTATAACATGGTGCCGGATATATGGGCTAATATTGGACTTATGGACTTGATCTGGACTGGACTGGGTTGTTTACTCAAGATTCAACTACTCTTGTATATAAAACTCTTTAAAAAAAAATTTATTGGGGGCTCGTACAACTCTTATCACAATCCATACATACATCCATTGTGTCAAGCACATTTGTACATTTGTTGCCATCATCATTTTTTTAATGCTTCCTCCCGTACCCCACACCCACCATGATCATTTTCAAAACATTTTCTTTCTACTTGAGCCCTTGATATCAGCTCCTCATTTTTTCCCTCCCTCACAAACCCTTGATAATTTATAAATTATTATTAATTTTTCATGTCTTGCACTGTCTGACATCTACCTTCACCCACTTTTCTGTTGTCCGTCCCCAAGGAGGGGATTATATGTAGATCGTTGTGATTTCCCCCTTTCTATCCCACCTTCCCTCCACCCTCCCAGTATCACCACTTTCATCACTGGTCGTGAGGAGTTCATCAGAGCTGTGTTTCCAGCTCTGATCTGTACCACTGTACATCCTCTGGTCTAGCCAGATTTGTAAGGTAGAATTGGGATCATGATAGTGATGGGGAAGAAGTATTAAAGAACTAGAGGAAAGTTGTA